CAAGAGCCTTCGAAAATTTTGAAAATTATTTTTAGTTCTTGAGTTATATCGAAAAAAGTGAATTTTTGGAGTTTCTATTTTATTTTTTTTCTCCGTTATTATCAGAGATACAGAAAAACTGAAAATACTTTTTCATTGCAACTTCAGTCCAGATGATTGTTCGAAAGAAATCTGCAAAATTTTAACATTTCCTGGTATACCACTCACAGGATGTCTTGCGCTTTTCGTCATCTCCTGGTTTTAGCGCTTGACATATTCTGAATTTGTATGGATGGAATTTCTGTTTCCGCAAAATGAAATGGGTTGTTGATTGAAACCAGTTGATGAGGTATTAGTGTGTTGACTAATTTTCCTTCAAAATAAGTGGAACTGATGGCATTTTTCCTTTGGAGTTTCGAAAAAACATTGATGATGGATGGAAATAGGTCGAAACACAAATAAACCACCTTGTATAATACATGGTTGAATTCAAAATAAAAAAACCTTTGAGAATCTGTGCAAAAATTATCAGGACCGTATTCAAAACACAAAAGTTGGTTCCACGAATACGAAACGTCGCATGAAAAAATCGGTATCACCACGTCGACCGTCATCAAAAGTTGCTATGAAAAAGTATTCTCAGTTTTGCTGTATCTCTAATAATAACGGAGAAAAAAAAATAAAATAGAAATTCCAAAAATTAACTTTTTTCGATATAACTCAAAAACTGAAAATAATTTTCAAAATTTTCGAAGGCTCTTGATATGAGCCTCCGAATGCGCAACTTTTTCCCCATTTAACCGATTTCGTATCTCTTACCGTTTTCGAGATCCCCATGCTGTTCAACCTATTCTTGGACAGACTGTATAAATGTAAATTTCCCTTCAACGTTTTACCAATACTGGAAATAAATATTGTATCAACTTCGAAGTGTGAAAATAATCAATATAATGTAATAATGCCCTATCAATATTATTCATCGATATTCTTGTGAAGTGCTGTTCAATATGTTGCAGATATTGTTTGTAGATGTTTCTGGAAAATTCGTTTTCAAATGCTACTAGATATTTTCTGATAATATCTACATGTATGTATATATATATTGTAAGAATATATGCCATCGATATGGTTTCTGGCATCATTTTGAATATGTGTCAATATTTGTTTTCAATGTATCCTTTACATTCAGAATCGAAGGTGTATCAACTTATAAATGAGAGATTGATCGTGATGATTCATTAATATCGTATCATCGTGAATGTTCAATATAAAATAACAATTTTTTGAAGATATATTGTGGAGATTGTTCCTGGATAACCACTCTATATCCTCATTCAATATCTGGATGATGATATTGTGTGAATATCTACCTTAGATATAATTTAGGGCAATATTTTGAATATATAGGTATATTTCACTTCGACATTTTTCGCGCATTGAAAATGAATGTTGTATCAATTTCAAAGTGTGAGAATGATCAATATAATTTATCAATATCCTGAAAAGGCGCTGTTCAATATGTTATAGATATTGTTTGTAGATATTTCTGTAGACTTCTTTCTCAATAGCTACTAGATATTATTCGCCAATATCCACATACATATATGTAATAATATTGGCCATCGATATAATTTCCGACATTATTTCAAATATGTGTCAATATTTGTAATCAATATACTACCTTCATTCATTATCTATCTCGTATCAACTTCCAGTTATGACATTATTCAATGGGATCCATCAATATCACATTATACTGATGTTCAATATGAAAGATATATGTTTTTGTAGATATATCACAATATCTATTCAACTATATTGTCTATATATAAGTTTTCGATATAGCTCTGAGCTTTATTTTTGATATTTGTCAATATTTTTTTTCAATTCACTCCCCACATTGGAATATCATTGTTCCATAAACTTTCGAATACGACATTATTCCATATATGATCATCTATCATCCCAGCATATTGATGTTGGATATAATATTCATATATTCCTTAAATATATCTTGAATATCAATTTTCAATGATCACCACATATTCTCAACCAATATCCGCATAACTATATTTTATGAATATTTTATATTGATTCTATTCCAAGCATACTGTTCAATATGTGTATATATTTGTTTTGAATCTCCTGTTAATATTATGGATAGATATTGTATTAACGTTTGATTGATAGAAACATGAATATCATCCATCAATACCTAAGCATACCGATATTTCATTCGGAATATATATTTCTTGGCGATATGTTTGAGATATTGTTAATAAATAACCCGTCCATATTCCTACCCAATGTCTGAGATACTATATAGTATGAATATAAGATACTGATATAATTTGAAGCATTCTTTTGAATATGTGTCGATATTTTTTTTTTCAATTAGTCTCAACATCAGTCATGAATGCAATAACAAGATCATTTCTCATTATTGATCTATATTTGGTGTCAATATTCATAATATATCACTACGTGGTGATGCCAAGAATATTGCTCATCTTCAACCTACTATATTGTTGGTCAATATCGATGAGCCATCAGTTACATATATAGAGATGATGAATGATTCTCAATCAACGCACTTCATTGTTTTTTTCATATCAACAAATCAATATTGTAGGATGATTATAAATCAATATTATTTCAGATATTTTGTTGAATGAATTAACAATCTTTTTATGAAACATCGAATCAATATCGATCTACAATAGCATGTAGAATGTTTGGATCCAATATTGTGCCTACTTGATTTCTCGATATTGCGCCAATTTTTCATCTATATTGGTCCAATATCGGCCCAATATGAGTGTGCTACTTGGGTTACCTGTAATTCTTATTATCTTATCAATTTCTCAGAGAGATATTATTATGAGACAAAACCTCACTTCTTGTATTTCTAGTTCTACTTCTTCTTCCTTTTGGTTTCGTCGACACGTTATTTCATGAAATGTCATCTGAAGACATCCGTAGGCACGCAATCCGCTGCAGCCAAGAGCTGTCACTGAAATAACTTTTCTAGGACAATAACGGCGCTGAATCTATGCCTAATGATGTTCTTAGGATGTAGAATTCATAACGTCCTCTCTAGGCGTTTGACGTCACATTGAGGATGACCCTAGGCGATTGTGTGCTATCTGGGAAGAATTTCTGATCCAGATAACGTACGGATCAACTGTACGAACTCGCAGTGAGAATATCTCGTTTACGTTACATACGTGATAGCTTCAGAAATTCGCGACAAGAATTTCTTGTTCAGGTTACGTTCCAGCTAGCTCAACGAACTCGCAGTAAGAATTTCTGATTCAGGTTGATTCCGTTATAACATTGTGAATTCGTTTTGGAAATGGAGTCGATAACTGGAATGTGAGGTTTGAAAGATTTCTCCCTGGGACTTCAAGAAGGAATTCGTTCAGTTACAGCACATAGCGATCTTTACTACCTCACGGTATGATCTTGATGTTGATCTCTCTGAGATCTCGCAGACAGGTTTGTGTTACCTGGGTTCATTGTCTTCAATGAACTACCGAAATATTAAAAACATAACGATTCCGATCATCAACATAGATATTTCAACCAATCACGTTGAAGTCCATGTTCCGAGGAAGATTTTGGCCCATAGTGACGATATTCTGATTGCCCTTTGAGATGATTATTATCATCAGTAAAGGTGATCGAACGGTTGTGAAACTAGCAACAGTCACATACATACTCAGAGAATTGTGTATGTATTCCAAATCGAATGTTCACATATCCAGTTGGATGAACATTTTGATGATTGAGTCGAACAAAATTGATAGCTTCAATCATAATACGGCTTCAGTGTGTGAAATCATATTTTCAGAGATTGTAGGAGGAGTGCTAATAGGGTTGAACTGGGAAAATAAATCGATGAATTCATCAAATGAAAATGTTTAAGTCTCTAAGCAGCATGAAACGATAGCCGTGATATGAATATATCGTCAGTCAGTACCGAAATATTTTGCCAGGCTGTAGCAAATGTGCTACAGGGTGAGAATTGCATGAACAATCGAGATATTCGTTGATGACAATATACATGTTTCTAACATATAGAAATCGATTGATTTAGTCGTATTGCACCTTCATCATCCACCGAATCATTTTGATAGGCCGTAGGAGGAGTGCTACAATGCTTGAATACAAGAAAGAAATCCATTATTTCTTTCAATGACGATATTCATGTTGCCTTTAAACAGAAATTGATTTTTTTGATCGAAGTACACCTCTGTTTCTGATAGTCAATACTTCTACGGCCTGAAAAAAATGTTTTTGTATTTCGACTGGAGCAATCGATTTCTGCTAGTGGAAAACTTGCACATCTTCATTCGAAAAGTGATAAATATTTTTCTGATATTCAACTCATGAAGCAACCTTTTTATGGCTCGGCAAATATCTCAATAGGTAATTGAAGTATATTTCGATCAAGGTGATCAATATCTGCTAGTGAATAACTTTGACATCGTCCTTTGAAGAAATTATGGATTTTTTCTGATATTCAATCCTTGCAGCAACTCTTCAACGGCCTGACAGAATGATTATAACATGTACCCAATGTGTTTTTCAATCAACGACATCGCTTTCTTCTAGATAGAAACCTCAACATCGTGATTTCAAAAAGTTATGGATTTTTTCCTGATAGTCAACCCTTGTAGGAACAAATCTATATCCTGAAAAAAATTTTCGCTAGTTTGAATGTGTATTGTGATCAGAAATATTGATTTAAGCTACTTAATGACTCAATGATTCAATGAAGTTTCCGATTTCATCTAGAATTCAACCTCATCCCTACAGCCTGATAGCATATTTTCATACTCACTGGAGGCGTTTTCCGATTATTGCTATTAATTCTGCTCGGCCCACACCTCGAAATATTGATCCGTGAATTCTTCTCCAAAATACATACATTTTTCCCAGTGTATATTTTCGGATGTGTCTAGTTTCACACCCATGGTAATTAACTCAACTACAAGCTCCTTTCTGAATGTATAATGTTCATTTGTAACTACAATCATAATAATATACCTAATGATATGATTGATAAGTGATTTGTTATTGTTTTTCCAATAGAAAAAATCAATAATCATCAAATTTTCTTGAATTTCAGATGTACACGTGGTTTTACAGTGATGACGAAGGTATCTGGATCGAGCTCTAGTGGTTTTTTCGTGACAGGACTTGGAAAAACTTTGTAGCTCATCAAGATGGTTGCCAAAGCTAGTTTGATCTGCATCAAGGCGAAACGCGAACCTAAAAAAAAAAACATAAATCAATATCATCAGTGTTTAAGCAAAATTCGAAATATTTGGAAATAAACGCTCTTGATGAATTGATGAGACGCAATGAGTGTTTGTCCAATAACTCAATCTTATATTTTCTTTCGAGCAAATATTTGTAACATACGTAATTTTTTCTACAAGCATTGATGATAAGGAGTATTGTTTTCGAGATAGACATCGATGATGAAATCATCAACATACACATCCATATCGTTACAACTTATTCTAGTTGAGGTGACTGCATTGGTATATAACAATAATCCAAAGAGATGTATTTTATCATTATTCATCATTCATTCATTCAATCATCTACTCCTATTGCAGTATTTATAAAATATTCAAATTCATTCGAACAATCAATTGTATCCTTGAAAAAACAACTTGAGCTATTATAAGTCACTACTATTCCTCACTCTTATGAATCAGGAAAGCTTCTTGGAATTATTCACGAACTGAATTTCTTCAAGGTGGCTCTGTACATACGAGCCGGTACCAAGTACAATAACGAAAATTCACTGTAACGGGATAGTTAAGATATATTCAAATCTTCGTTTTATCGATATATCAAGAACGATTTTATTATTTTGATCACACAATGAAGAATCACATTGCTACTTCATCAAAATCACCAAATTTTAATTTATAGACAGGGAATTGATTTCGCTGCTCGTCAGCAACTTCATGTGTATATGTTGGCACTAAAACGCCAGGGCGATTGACAATCAACTACTGTGCCTGAGGTGAACGATTATGATTTAAAAAAAATGAGATATAAACTGCGAGAGAATATTTCCTCAGTTCCATTTCACCTCAACTAGCTAGTACATCAACAAAATTCATGCAACATACAAAGAGAAGACAATGAATTCACATGATTCAGCTTCACATACTCAGTTCACTGAATGTTCACAAACTTCACTGTTGATTTTGTGAACAAACAAAATAATGTGCTTACCAAATCAATATTTGTGTTATATGGAGAATAGTATTCATTTCGCGGTAATGGTCATAACTCACTTGATGAATTACACCACTTGCCTGCGGCTCGTAGAGCAAACTTCATCTGCGTGAGTAAAGACCTACCAACACTACTGCTCGTTGAATAATATAATATTATTCATGTATTCATTCACACCTGAAACATTCAGCAGACCAGAGGCCAATAGTTACAATTATGATGGCCATTCGATTAGTAGGTGGACCTAAGCTGGACAAATGAAAATGATAAAGCAAATATATAATGGATAAATTAGGGCAGAGTTGCGCATTCATGGTCCTTAACATATGCCGTCGGAAAATTTTATCAACTTCATGTTGTACTTCTGGAGATATACAGAAAAAACAAGACTGTTCTGAAATCATTTCAATTCTCTCTGGCGTTATTTGTTTAATAATATGAGGATACACATATTCACATGGCCACTTCTCCCTGCTACCTATATGATGAAATTTCAAGATTATTTATGCAACGATTTGCCTATACGCCATCATAATGATGATATTGATAGCCCTCATCACACCCCTTCTGCTTATAAACCGACATTCTTCAATTATGATTTTATTTAACTGAGTCAAGGCCGGTTGCACAAGGTTGCGCAGTATAACGTATTTCACATCATCAAAATCAAAAGAAAAAATGCGATTATTATCAATGAAAATCCGATATTGCGGTTATTCAGAAAATAGAGATGATAATGATAGCGTGAAGATGAAACGTCGGATGGTGAATCCAAAAATGTCATCGTATAGCAGGTGCAAATTGGCTATGTGATTGTGCTATCGATTTTTGTGTCATTCTTCCGAGAACGACAGTAGAAAATGAGAATGATTTTACAAAATTCTACTTTTTTCATATATCTTCGCAAATACTCGGAATATATGAATTTTCTCGACAGCATATGTTCTCGTTATACAGGTTGTCTTTCAGAGATCTTCACAAAAACCTTCTTCATATGCCTCAGACCAGAATAATTCGATACACGCTAATTCACCTCAGCACAAAGTTGATCAGTCTGTACGCTAGACGGCTCTGAAGTTACAATTTTCGAATATTTATTGCTCCATAACCCTGCAACGGCTCATGGGATTTCACCTTAATTCGATATGTTGGAATAGCATCATTATAAGCATTTATTTTCTCATAATGATCATGGAAAAATCATTGCATGAGCACGAGAGTTTGAGTTTAGAGTTAATATAGCGTAACTTGTGTTCTATATAAAAAAAGGTTAGTTCGATTGAATGTGTTTTCTTTCATGGTTTCAACAAAATCAAAATCTCAATAATTTCCAGCATCAGTCAATAATGCAACCATGGACAGATATTTCATCAAAATATTTCGAAATGTTGATTATTTTCAAGTATACAAATAATTATTCGACGGAAAAAATGTATTCAAAGGAGCTTACCTCAGAACAAAGTTGCTCAGTCTGGGCGCTACACGGCACTAGCTCATTGAAAAAAATTTGATGTAATTACCAATAGTTTACTCAATTTATCAACGACTCATAAATCGTCGTACATTGAGCAAAAAAATCGAATAACGCTTATCAAAAATTGATAATCCTTCATGGAAATCTGCAATCGAATAGGAAACAGCCTAGCTGTTTTTGATTCAGTTTTCGTCCTGAAAACATTCACTAGATTATTCAGTAACAACTCATGTCTTGAAGGCTACACCGTGAACGAATAACGGGCATACATCATTGTGTATTGATTTACTTGCAATGTTGGATGAGCGTCATCAGGTACTTTAGCATTGCGAAATTCAATAACTATGATAATTGCAGACTTAATTCGTATCTATGAGGTAACTTAATGAGCATCAATCATGGACTATATTATTATTATGTTATTATGTTATTCTCCAAAACCAATAACAGGCAAATCATTGAATGTTGAATTGAATCAGATATTCATCTAGAATGAAAAAATTGATTCAGCACATTCATTTTTTGAAACTTTGTCAGTAAAAATTACATACATACATCAAACTTCCGAAATACTTCCAAAAATGATCAATCCAGAAAACGATATGTTGGAAATGCACTATCTTTCACCTAGCGGAGCACTTCGAATGAACAAGAAGGATCAATTTTATAATGTGCTTGTTTGACATTCATTTTTTATTATGATGGTATTGAGAGTTTTGATTCCATCATAACGGACTTTCCACCAGATGAGCTTCAAAAAATGAATGAGCTTTTGAGATCATATTCCATTCGATGAAAGAGTATTCGATCATCAATCTGACCTATTCCTTCGAAGTAAAGGTAATCATAAATTGCTGCAACAAAAATTGTAATGCTGTCATTGAGTCGGAGAACTGAAGTCAACTGTGTGAATGAAAGAAAATAAAGAAAACTTCAGAAAAGAAAGTTTGAAAATGAACAAAAGAATGACATTGATAATGAATCTTCCATTCAGAGTACTCATTAGTTGAAAATAAAATGAATTCAATATTTCATGTTGAAATACCATTCCGAAATGTCTTGGTCAAGTTTTTGCACACTTCTGAACCCAAGTTTCTCAGAACCTCACTCGATCACATGTCAAAATCATAACTCACAACTGTATTCACCCAACAAAAGTAACGTTCAACACACGAGGTGGCATATCCACTGGACCAACTTAATTCTGATGATTGTCACAAGGTGCAGGCGATGTGTATACGTATTTGTAAGGCGATGACACCATTTTGCCCTCGTTTGTCTGTACTCGAGATGAATTCGTCAACAATTGTAATTCATTTCAACTTGAGGAATATCTTGATAACAAGTTACTGAATGATTGAAATTCACTTGTCTGCGTTGGTAATCATAAGCATAGACATTATTGACATTACAAGAAGCCTAGTAGAATATCTATCTGTGGCAACTAGTCGTTGGCATGATTTTATATATAACTAGGATGAACATGATCGAAAATCAAATAACAGTCATCAATGGAGAAAATTTAAAGGGTGTTATCTGTGGCAACTAGTCGTTGGCATGATTTTATATATAATTAGAATGAACATGATCGAAAATCGAATAACAGTCATCAATGGAGAAAATTTGAAGGGTGTTTGTTTCATAGTGTGAACGTGAAAATGATGGAGTTTTCAAATAATTCTTATGAAATATATTTGAATCAATTGAGTATTGGCTGATGCTTCGAGTCATGAGAATTCAAACTGTGTCAAAATCATAAGTGTTATCTAGTTTCATCTGGAGTACTCCTTCCTAATGAACAAGTTACGCTATTCCAATTTCGTTTTCAACCCTCTATCTTCTTATTGGCGTTGAAGTTTCAGCTTCATCAATTTCTACGCCCATGGAATGATATTCATCATATTCATGGAAAGGCTTTCATTGCTTTATAGAGCAATTCCAACATACCAAATTTGAGTACAACTTTCAAGATGCGATATTGTACTGATGAGGTAAGTTTGTTTGTATCAAACTGTTTCGGTCCGAGGATTATGCGGTAAGTTTTCGTAAAAACCTCTAAGAAATACCTTGTTTATCTAGTTTGAAATAGAAGTGTACAATTGCCTTATGAACTAGTTCGAATTTGGGAGAAAAATTAATATACAGACGGCCACAGAACTCAATTCGAGTTTTGAGCAGACGGTACATCATTTTGACTCCTTCACATAATGTAAAGCAAATGAATATAAACTCGTTCAGTAGTGAATCATAATCGCAGTGACGTTTGGGATCAATATTATATTTTTTGAAGGACGAGAATAATTCGAGTCTGTTTCTCCACTGTCCTCAATGCTTTTATGCATTAACCTTGGCTTGAGTTTCATACCGCAATGCAGTGTTCAAGCTTGCTTCGTACAATGCAGTAGTGAATAAAACGAAGAACTCCGAGATTCGTTACTTCTTCACAAATACGTATGATGAAACCTAGAGTCCTGTTTGCATTGGATAAGATCATGTCACTATGCAAATTGAATATCAATTCGCTGTCAAATTCAACTCCAAGATCCTTACATTGGAGTTATTCCAATTAACTATCTGACCCCTACTGAAAACCTATGTCAAATTGAGTTTTTACTCAAAAACGGTATGTCCTAGCAGATTTCTTATTCAAGGTCTTTTAATAGTAGAATCCTCGAACACAGTGACATTTTGAAGCAAATCATAATCAGAATCGAAGGATCAAGAGTTCATTTCAATTATGTTCACTCACCAATACAATTCCTAGGTCCATCTCCGAACGGGTAATACGCTGGTAATTTTTTATTTCTATCCTCAAATCGGTCTGGATTCCATTTTTCCGGGTCTGGATAATAGTCTGGATCTCGATGCAGTCCCAGAACTGGGATGATCACTTTCGTTCCTTTCTCAATGGTTAAGTTTTTACCTGGGAATTTGTAATCCTGCACGCATGTCCTTGGAAAGGTTTGTACTGGAGGCCATTTTCTCAGAGTTTCTGGAAGCATCGAATGGAATAGGATGATAATGAGTTTGTTATAGACGTTATAGTCATGACAAAAATATACTCCATCATTTAGTGAACGTCCACGAAGTTGCGTTGTAGCACACCTTATTATATTATTGCCATGATTATCTCAGAACAACTGCCGCATATTTGAAGTGAGACTAGCAAAACTCTCTATCATTCTCGAACTGTCATAACTTTGAGATGAATCAACCAATTATCAATTCCTCACAAGGTCACAATAGCTCATTCAATTGAGTACAACGTCAGTGCTTTTCTGTAATTCGAGACCTCCGAAATAAGGATCTAGAGGATGATATGATGATTTTCGAAAAGTTTGAGATCACTTCGTTTGGCAGAGATCAATTTTCATGTTCCATTGAGGGCGATTGAATAAAGCATTGTGAGACTTCTTGAAATGGTTCTCGATTCAGGAGAATTGTTACAGGATGTATTGAAATTTGTGATTCTCCACATTATTATGCATTATATTATTTTCAACAATGATAAATTCACGAGTAAATTCACCTTCATTAAAATTTTTGATCGACTTTATCACTTTACGGTGTGTTGTTTATTTCCTAGCATACCGGGTATCATCGAATTTATCAGAAAAACCTTAGTTCCCAGAATTTCTCAGGTATATGAGAATCACTTTTTTTAGGGGAAAAGGAATTGGGGATTGGTAAATTCTGCAATATACTATATTCTTGTTGGTTCAACTTCCTATTTGATAAGAATCGACTTGATGATTTTTGAATGAGACAACCTGTATTCCATTGCATTTGATGTTAGGGATTGTCATTACAAATTCAACTAAACTGTTACGGATATGGTGACCTTGAAGCATTACGAAGTTACTCGCGTTCGGAATATCCATATGCTCATGAAATATATGGGAACTTTTGGAACAAAGATCTTTATAATCCTCTAGAATAACTTTCTCGAACATATTATCTTTGAATTTGTTAATATCATCACTCACTGATCATGGAATGGAATGAGATACAAGGTATTCCATTTGAAAATCAGAAGATTGGGTATTTCTGGTAAAACCGGGAATGATGAAAGAGTAAGAAAATATCGGAAACCTCTACAACTTTCGACTTCAGCACCTGCAGAACTCTGGAAACTATGGTTTGTCTAATGAATGAATTGACACCTACTATGGAGAATCTGAAAATGAACGGAAATGCTATCAAGAGAATTCGGATAATGATTAACAACAATATTCATACGGGACATTTGGAAACAAACACAACTGCAATTAAGTACCAACAACTTCGATCGTTTGTCTTGCTGGTTATCAATATAATGTAGCACTCTAGAGAGAGAGAAAGAGAGTAAAAATCTATTCGGTGGAAGGTAGTAGTAAAAGGGTAGTTTGATCATCGTGCCGAAGATTCTAGACTCCGATACATATAATATGTTCATTATAAGATCATCAACTTTGGAACTTTGTCCAAGTGTAATGTACACGGTGACTGAACTGAATCTCCATTCGATGAATATGAGATCTGTGCGTCCTTCTATCATGCTGAAAATGGATAAGAATGAAGAATGTTCTCGGAATACTCATTGAACTCGACTCGAGGTCCAAATAATTGGATATGTTTCTGTTCTTACCATCGACTGCTTGACCGAGGTATTTCATTTCCATGATTGATTCATATGGAAAATCATTGTTATTTTTCTCGAAGGTGCTCATCACTTCTTCTCTAAGTCTATCTTGAGCCTCTTGATTTTCAGCCAGTTCGAACAATGTCATAGTTGTGGTGGTAGCTGATGTTTCGAATCCAGCAATGAAAAATATATATGTCTGGAAATGAAAAGAAGGCATGATGAAAAGGTGTTCCAGGAAAATCATGAAACATCGCTCAATGGAAAAATGTTTGACCGCCAATTGAACGAGAAGGTTATACAGAGTTATCTAAAAAAAATTTACATGAACTGCAACACTCTGCCCAATGAGAATGCCTACTGGAATGTCCCACAGCTCGAAAACAGGACATTCAAGGTCGGTTGAGAAAAATATATCTCATATAAAAGTGAAAATCGGAGTGAACCTCTTCAATTTCGACATAGTTCCTTTTTATTAAAATTCCTGCGTCTACGTTGAGGAAGTCATAAATCGTTACAGGAATCTATGGAATTTACTGAAGTTACTAATTTCTCTACCAACAATAAGTATATCGCTATAACATATTTTTGAAGAAAAGGAATCTACTCAGACACTAAATTGATTCTCGATAATATGAAATTTTTGTGAGAATTTTACAAAAATTACTTTCTTGATATATTATAGAGATGAAGAATGTCTCAAAATGTCCCTAAGTAGCGATGTCCTGATTTTTTCGTGATATAAAATGATGATTAAAAATTCCAGATTTCTTGAGATTTCTTCTCCTCGTTTCTGCACAATGAAATATAAGTATTATTTCAATATACGTGTGATAAGGACCAATCAGATGGTTTTTCAGTAAATGTCACTGCGCTCAGAGGATGGTCCTATCAGAGGAAAAAAAATACTTGCATGTCAGTGACACTTTGTCAAGGTTTGGAGACGAGAAATATAATAAGTTTTTAGAGAGATATGACATTTCCACTTATCTTTGTACGTTTTGAGAACGAGTTCGTTTCGGTCTCAACATAAAGACGTGGAAAATTCTTGTCACAAATTTGTCAGCCATTAGATTTGACACAACTTACTGATGAAAAGTGACGTGCAAATTCACAAACAACCAAAGATGAGTGCAAATTTGAAATATTTTCATGCAAGAATTCTTGATGTAACACTGATTCATACATACTCCATGTGTAATATATGCTCGAATTCAGCTCCTCATGAAGGTTCTGAGATTTGCATAATATAAACAGGGGGTCCCTCCGGGAAATGCATCGATCGATATATGGAAAATCATAAGTGAGCCGAATTTGGAAATCTCGGAGTCCACTATTTGTGATAATATCCGGCTGGAATATTATGGCATTTTTGGTTGCACCAGAGGTGGACCATAACTCCGCTATTTCGAATGGGACATCCTGTATTTTATCTTGGTTCAAGATTGAAATGCATGATCCTGAACATCCTCCATGTGAAATGTCCTATTCCCAAAATTGTTTTGATTCCCTATGCATTGATTCCTTTATTTCATTTATTTTTTGAGTTCCTCCTACTCTTGATTCGACTGATGCTCTATCGGAAATATGTTGAAAGGAGTCGAATACCTATATGAATTTCATTTGAAACAATCTGGGAAGTGAGTTTGGCAAATTATCTCTGAAAGTTTGCAGAAGAGATTTTGATATCTGTGGAACAAAGGACCAGAACTGTTTCGATTCACTATGCATTGATTTTTCTTGATTTCATAAATTTTTTGAGTTCCTCTCACTCTTGATTTGACTAATGATTCATCAGAAATATGTTGAACGGCGTCGAACACCTATATAGATTTGCTTTGAAACAATCTGGGAAGTGAGTTCGACATATTATCTCTGAAACTTTGTCGGTAGTTATGATTTCAGCAAGATGTATGTGAAACCCATAATGCAAGAATTGTACAAGAATATTCGAACGCACTGATCCCTAGACGATGGATTTGAACTAACGGTCTAGTTATATGACCTCTTCGATCTCCATCTTTGAATCCTGCGTACCATTTACTGTGAGATGCTTTGAGAAGAATCAACTACGATAATACTATCACAGATTTGGAGAAGGTATGACAAACAATTGTGGCTTTTCAGTCAATTATGTCAGGAATGGCAAAGGAAGCAACACAACAAGTATCAAGAGTCAATCTTCGTTTACAGAATGGTGGAAGTTATTTCGAGATTTCCTTATATGATCTTTGGTTTGTCACATTTGCTTTCCTCCGATGCCTATTCAAGGAGATATGCCGAACCTATCAAATCATGTTGACTTTGTCAACATGATTTGATAGGTGGGGTCATACTCAAAGCATGACGTATCTCTATACAAAATGAAAATACCAATCTATTTGAAAATTGGATGAAACCAGATCAAATAACATACGAGATAAAAATAAACCCTGTATTGTTTTTTCTATATCTCCTAATGGAAGCGCTAGCGCTTGAAAAACAATAATTTTGTTATTTCTCAATCACCGCGAAAACGGCATGATAACTTTGAATTCCTCATGGCATCCTCGTGTCCCCCAATTTGTGTATTTTCTGTTCCTCTCCACCAACATTTCATCCGTTCCACAATAATAGTGGGACAACGCAATGTGGGCCACCCTGTACCCAACAGATGTTCGAAGGATTGCAACTGACTTTCGCCTCCTGCTTGCCAGTGCGTTCTTCATGAAAGTCTGGAGTCCAGACTCACATTTATTCAAGGCCGATGCGCGTATTCGACATCGTTCGACATCTTCAACTAGCGGTGTATCGAACTGTTTCGGAGTTAACAACATGATGCTGATGATCTTGACAAACTCGCAATTCTCTAAGTGAGAATGAATCCTTCAGGTATATACATTACAGAACATCTGAGATCGAGCAATAAGCGACGAGAATAAATTTATCAAATTATTCGTGAACACTCACCTGGCCGATTATTTCGTCCATGGTCATTTGTACCCCTGAGTTTTTGAGTTGGATCAACATATCCAAAAAGTCTTTCCTCGACACATTATTCTTTTCTCTGAACTCCACTGTTTCTTTGATGATTTTACTGAATTTTTCCGTTACCTCCGGTTGGACATTGGAAATTCCTATTTCCTCTGCCAATTTGGGAAAATATACAGTCATGAAGAAACGCATCTTGTCTGCCAGAGAAAACTGCTCGAAAATATGTCTTCCGAGTTTTCGGAATTCCGCATCTGGATCTTTAAAACAATTGCATTCCAGGCCAAAGATCGACGCACCTGAAATAAAAAATCATCAAACTTGAATGAGGAGTGAGGCGCAAGCATGTTCATATCGTTCATATTTTGAGGCTCTAGCTATAATAGCATTTTCACATCTCCAATGAGCTAGCAGAATAACTAATTAGAAATCTTTATTTTTCTCATCAGACCTAATTCGAGGCTAATTCTGGACTGATTCTTCATCCAATTGCCTAATGAATTGCCATTCGATTTGTGCAAGAAAAAAACATAAGTTATGATAGCTTAACGTTGAGCTAGCAGTATTACTTCGTGAATGGAAGTTGAATCACAAAACTAATTATAACATAATTTGAGGTTGATTTGAGGCTCCAATTCTAGCGTTTTGCCGATTGTTCTGCAAATTGTTCGAAGAAGACGACAAAAGGAAGTGTTCTCTGAGCTTGTCCACTCCGTCTGGATGCTATTGTCAGTGATGAAATGATAGCAGAGATTTCTGGATATTATTTCCCGTGGTAGTATATCTGAAGGAATATAAAATGTTGGCGACTTCTCTGTGATGACCTGTCACTCTGAATGGAATCTAGGAGCATCAACGTTTGTGCGGTTGCTGAACACTATATGTGGGAACAATATAGTAGAACAGGTAGTATCTGTATTTTATAGAGTTGCTGGTTACCTGTAATGGGAATCCTAGTTCTTGGGTAGCAACTTTCGCGATGGATATGTGTTTCGTATTCTGTTCAAATTTTATTTTTGTTTCGAATAAGCATAGGAATAATATCTCAATTCTGGTTGAGAAGACAAAGTACTTCGTGGTCTCTTCAAGTTGATGAAGTTGGTTGACATGTCAGCTGCTATAATATGATAGGTGTAAGATGTTTTATCTCCATCTCTCAAAGTGCACGAGGTAAAAAGCCAATCATGTTAGATATAAAATCAAGCATAGTCTAGGAGAAGGAGAAGATATTGAACTCTGAACTTTCAAGGATCTTGGGAACATTTCCTATGGTGAAGCTTTTTTTCTCCATCAAGAAACGAGTTTTATGGAAGAATTGCTCAGAGAATTGAAGATTGATGAAAAAAGGATGCGTTGTCTGTGTTTTTCGGGTGCGTCTGACTGGTATTTCTAGCGATCGAATAATATCAAAAATTTCTGAAAATCATTTGTCTTTGTATGAATGTAGGACATCTTTTATATTTAGGACAACCTTCATAGCATCACCTTTTTGAACTATCGTGAATAGTTATTTCTTTGTTTCTATGGGAACTATGTCGGTTGGGTGGAATATTTTTTGATAAGCAACGGGGATTAAAAAAAAGACCTTCGTGCTTACTAGTCGAGTTTGAGACGATAGACGATTTTAGAAGATTTCAATATCCATAGTCGAGCCGCGGCTTTGATATTGCTTGTAGACGATTTTGTGAACCTTTCGAACCTGTATTTAGTACCATCAGTCTCTTTACGTTGTATCAGATCTTTAGTAATTCTCAACTGACCACTGACATCTGTGATGATATCTGTTTATTAAAACCATCGAAAACACAGAGTGATTAATTATTAGTGATTATATGAGTTGATGCTGTTTTGATGATTAGACAAATGATTTGGCGATCCTAGATGTAAGATTGTTTAATTCGACAAGGTAGGACGCATATTTTCCATAATTTTCGACGATCCAAGAAGTAGATGAATCTCTAGATTTCACTGTGACTGAAATCAAGTATTTTTCGAGACTTTTTGAGAGCCAGTTGATTTTATAATTATTGTTCTTGATATTGACATTTGTAATATTGAGTGTTCTTGTAATTGAACGTGACATTTTGACTCCCTTAGTCAATTATTTGATCTGTAGATATTATATTATTATTTAAGTGTAATCAGTAGGTACTTTAGTGGAACTTAAATTATTCAGGGCAATTCAAAGCCGCGACTCGCTTTGAATAATTTTCGACAGAGTAGTTGGTGATTATCAATTGTTCCTTGTTTTTGATCGATAGTCAGTGGATATGTCGACCACATTGGGGAATATTTCTGAAATTGAGAATAATATCAAAAGTGCGAAGCTTCAAGCTGTCAGATCTTTACATATAATCGCTTTCGGTATGGAAGGTCAGCCTAGAAAAGAGAGAAAAGCCTTGAGAGGGTTTTCGGGATTTCTTTTGAATAAAGATTCAGAAGAATATAAACAAAGAATAATTGATGTAAAATCAAGTTTGAATTCAGCTGATTTAGTTACTGTGTGTCATATTCTAGACTTAGATTATTCAGGAACGATTGATGTGTTGGCGGAGCGTATTTGTTCCTTCATGAATGACCTCAAAATCACAGACGATGAAAAGGAAACTGACGGTGAAAGTGAGGAAGAAGAGTAAGAAAAAATACAGAACGACGATGAAAATGAAAATACTATTGATCAAGTTGTTATACCTGACAGAAGGAGAAATCCAAGCACAAGAAGAGCCGAGTCTTCTGCTTTGACTTTCAGAGACGTAGAGGATAGTATTAGACAGTTCGACGGAAGAGATGATTATCCAATTAGAAAATGGATCGAAGATTTTGAGGAAATTTCAGAAATAACAGGATGGAATGATCTTCAAAAACTCATATTTGCCAAGAAATCATTGGGCGGACTCGCAAAACTGTTTGTTCAGTTAAAAGTTGGAAAACTTTGGAGATATTATTGATGAAAGAATTCGAGGTTTAAGTCAGTAGTGTTAAAGTACATAAGTTATTGATGTCACGGAATGAGAAGCGTGAAGAGTCGGTACAAGAATACGTTTTGACTATGCGAGAAATAGCAAATATTGAACCTGAAATAGTTATTCAATATATTATAGATGGAATACAGGATGAAACTGCAAATATGATAATTCTATACGGGGCGAAGGATTTTTCAGATTCTAAAGAGGAAGTTAAACTCTATGATCAGATTAGAGCCGGAAAATCTGCATCACATGGACAATCAAACGGACATTTCAGCAGACCAGATTCGAGAATAAGAAAAGAAGAAGGAAGAATACAGAGGAAAGGAAATAATGATTGTTGCTTCAATTGTGGTAACAAAAGACATAAATCAAGAGATTGTCCAGATAGGAGTAAAGGGACGAAATGTTTCAGCTGTGGAAGTTTTGGTCATGTGGCAACAAATTGTCCTAAGAAACCAATAACATCAGGTAGAGACAACAAAGGACCAACACCATCGACCTCAGCGAACATTGGTATGGTAGAAGTCGTACCAAAAAATAGTGTGAGAGTAAGAATCGGCGAAATTGAAATTATAGCATTACTGGATACAGGTAGTGATATCACTGCTATAAGAAATGATGTATTCGAAGAATATTTCAAAGATATTGCACTAGATAATTGAATAATTTCTATAAAAGGGTTTGGTGCTAATAGAGTTCTGACGTTAGGTTCATTTTGTAGAACAGCATCGATTGATGATGGAGATTTCATATTGAAATTTCATATCATTTCTTTGGCATCATCTAGTTTCGGAGCAATTATTGGAAATAACCTATTAGAACAAGCAGATATCAGCATCAGAGGTAATGAGATAATAATTTTCAAGAAAGAACGTAGTAATTTTCTGATGGAAATAACTATAGAAGAAGGAAAAGATAGTAAGGAGAAAGTAAGTTTGAAGCATATAGAAGATTTAGAATACCGAGCAGAAGTTGAATCCCTAGTTGAAAAGTACTAACCAGAGAAGACAAAGACGTCCAACATTGAGATGAAAATTATTTTAAAGAGTGAAGATCCGATTTATCAGAGTCCTAGAAGATTGGCGGTCCCAGAAAAACTTGAAGTTGAAAACAAATAAGAGAATGGCTTGACGAGAAGATAGACCAAGTTCATCAGACTTTGCAAGTCCAATAGTTCTGGTTAAGAAGAAAGACGGTAGAACAAGAATATGTTGTGATTATCGAAAACTCAATAAGAACATCATCAAAGACCGTTTTTCCCTTCCTTTGATTGAAGATGTTTCAGATAGATTGCAAGGAGCTACATTTTTCAGCACTATTGATTTGAAAAATGGTTTCTTTCATGTCCATGTAGAAGAAAATAGCATAAAGTATACGGCTTTTGTCACACACGACGGACAATACGAATTTCTGAGATGCCCTTTCGGATTATGTAATAGTCCATCAGTATTTCAGAGATTCATACATAATATTTTCAGAAACTTAACTGCTAGCGGTATTGCCATATACTATAAAGATGATATTATTATACCAAGTGTAGACGAAAAACAGGGAATCGAGCGATTGAAGCAGGTATTAGAAGTTGCAAGAAACTATGGCTTAGAAATTGAATTGAAGAAATGTCAATTTCTCAAAAGTCGCGTTGATTTTTTAGGGTTTATCATAGAGGATGGTGAAGTTCAGCCATCAGATGCCAAAACATTAGCAATAAGAAAGTTTCCTGGACCTACGACGTATAAGCAAATCCAATCATTCTTAGGCTTAACAGGTTATTTCCGTAAGTGCATATCCTCCTATGCTACTATTGCTAAGCCACTGAGTGATTAATTGAGAAAATGTGTAAAGTTCAGTTTTGATGAGAAACAAAAGATGGCATTTCTGAAACTTGAGGAACTTTTAACAACTGAACCAGTTTTGCATATTTACAGGCAAGGTATTCAGACAGAATTACATACAGATGCAAGCAAACATGGATATGGCGCTTACTTGATGAAAAAATCCAGTGACGATGATAAATTGCACCCTGTATATTACATGAGTGGGAAGACCCGCAGAAGAAAAGTATTCCAGCTATGAACTTGAAGTTTTGGCCGTTATACAAGCTGTGAAGAAATTTAGGATATATCTACTAGGTACAAAGTTTAAAATTGTAACAGACTGTCCAGCTTTCCAGCGGACCATGGAGAAGAGAGATCTAACGACGAGGGTAGGTAGATGAGCCCTACTATCGGAAGAATATACTTATGAAATTGAACATAGACGAGGAAATAGAATGAATCATGTTGATGCACTTAGTCGGTATCCTGTGATGATGTCAATAACCGAATCGATAGTGGAAGATGGTATAATTCAGCGACTTAGAATTGCTCAAGACAAGGACGAATACCTTCAGACTATTCGAAAAATTTCAGAATCCGAGTAAAATTATGACGATTATTCAATGGAGAATGGTATCCTTCACAAGTATGAAAAAGGGCAGGAATTGATAGTGGTTCCTAAGGCAATACAGATGGAAATAATAAGAAAAGCACACGATATAGGACATTTCGCAGCAACAAAGACGGAAGAAGTGATAAGAAGAGGAGTATTTCTGCCAAAATTGAAAGAAAAGGTAGAGAAAGTGATACGAGATTGTATACCATGCATTCTAGGAAATAGAAAAGAAGGTAAGAAAGAAGGATTACTCCATCCAATATCGAAGCAGGAAGGACCACTTCATACGTACCATATTGATCATTTAGGTCCAATGTCGATTACTAGTGAGAAGTACCAATATATTTTAGCAGTTATAGATGATTTTTTCCAAATTCACTTGGTTGTATGCAACTAGATCAACTACGACGAAAGAAACTTTAGATTGCTTGATGAAACAACAGAGTATTTTTGGAAACCCAGTTCAAATTATTACCGACAGAGGAACTGCCTTCAGTTCAAGAGACTTCAATGACTATTGTGAAGAAGAAGGTATCAAACATATTATGATCACTACTGGTGTACCACGAGGAAACGGACAAGTTGGGAGGATAAATAGAACCATCATTCCAGTGGTAACTGAGCTGAGCTTAGAAAATACTACAAAGTGGTATAAGTATATTGAACGCGTTCAAAGAGCACTGAATTCAACATTTCATAGGAGCATTAACACAACTCCCTTTGAAATATTAACGGGAGTGAAGATGAGAAATAAAGAAGATATAAAAATCAAGGAAATGATAGAAAAAGAATTGATTGAAAAGTTCAATGAAAATAAAGGAGAACTGAGAAATATGAGTGAGAGTCAAATTTTGAAAGTTCAAGAGGAAAATCGGAGAGGATATAATTTGAGAAGAAGAAACCCCAAGGAGTACAATATTGGAGACCTGATTGCGATAAAGAGGACTCAATTTGGACCAGGTCTCAAAGTACAAAGAAAATACTTTGGACGCTATGAGGTAATTAAGGCAAAACCCTATGAAAGATATAATGAAGTGAAGGTAGGCACTCATGAAGAACCAATGCGTACCTCCACATGTGCAGAATTTATCAAACCATGGGTTGATAACCAAAGCGAATCCGAGTCGGATTTATAGTCGGACAACCTTTATAGCATCACCTTTTTGAACTATCGTGAATAGTACTTTATTTGTTACTATGGGAACTATGTCGGTGGGGTGGAATATTTTTTGCTAAGCAACGGGGATTAAAAAAAAGGCCTTCGTGCTAACTAGTCGGTTTTAAGACGATGGACGATTTCAGAAGATTTCGATATCCATAGTCGAGCCGCTGCTTTGATATTGCTTGTAGACGATTTTGTGAACCTTTCGAACCTGTATTTAGTACCACCAGTCTCTGTACGTTGTATCAGATCTTTAGTAATTTTCAACTGACCACTGACATCTGTGATGACATCTGTTTATTAAAATCATCGAAAACACAGAGTGATGAATTATCTTTTCCATCCTTACAAATCAAGAATCTAGACCTATAACATCCTAGATACATCAGGAAAAACCTACATGAATCTGTATGAAAGTGAGAGATTGCCAAAGTTCAGGTGCTGTATCATTGTGTTGAGGTATTAGTGGGTGTATCATCACTCTTCAGGGTAATGACCTGTCTTATTGAATGATATCGAGGTGCATCGGAGTGTGTGGAAATTGGGCCTATTTATAAAAACATAACTTTAAAAATGTGTATATCTGTATTCTGTATACTAACTTTCCGCATGAAATCAACATCCTAGTTCTTGTGAAGCAGCGTTTATGATGAAACGCCTAATATATATTCTTCCACCTCTTGATCGGAATGTGTTATTATAAATTGATTGTAATGATGATGGTATTATTCCAATCCATTGTAATAAAATGCGCAACGTTATCTCTATCGCTCGCTGGCATGTCAACTTCAACAATAATAGTTTTCGACTTTTACAGCTGTCGTTCAAATATGATTTTCATAGTGACATTGTCATGGATCCCTGACTAACACAGTGCGGATGTCACTCAGCAGCCTCTTTCGATTTGATCGATGATGTCGTGACTGAACTTTAATTTCGCGCAGGTCACGCGGATCGCAAGTAGCTAGCCGAGTCAAGTCGGCCTGTGATTGGCAAGCCAACTCATGTGAATTGGAGAAGAGTCTTAAAGGGAAGGAACTGGTTTAGAGTGACTGAATTTTTACTGAAAAAGCATATCTTCCCAGCCTCTCCGACCTCGATGTGAGTGATGAGAAGGTTGTTGAATATCTATGCAGATTTCTCAATTATTCCAGAAACCTAGTAAATTTCGAAGATTCCGCACCTTGCTCTTCCTGAAAGTTGCAGATATTGTGTGACAACCAGTATTTTCAAATTTCCAGAGTGAACAATACAGAAATCATGACGAGTCTATGCACAAAATTCCTGGGAACACAGGTAGACAACAAACTAAATTTCGAAAATCAAATAGACGACATAATATGCAAAAAACTAAATAGAACTTATTTCGCTCTCAAAACCCTCAAAAACAACTTCTACAGAAATCATCTGGTTAATATTTATTATTCACTAGTATACTCACAAATATGTTGCAATATAATAGTATGGGTAAGAGCAACCGAGATATCAGGAGTATTTATAATCCAAAAAAGATTCATCAGACTTATATTATCACGAGTCATGTAAAGAAACCTTCCAAAATAATAAGTTATTAACACTAACTTGTATATATATATATACAAACTTCTCACATACACGTTTCAGAACCTACACAAGTATAACAAGAATGAAGATATCCACAGATACCCTACAAAAAATAGCGACGACATACATTTGAGTCGTTTCCATAAATATCTATATAGGAAGTCACCAATTCATGCCGGAGGCCAATGATTCAATGCCCTTCCAAGAAAAATAAAAGACACCAAAGATGCAAAAAAATTCAAGAATAATCTGAAAAATATCTCACCGAAAATTCGTGTCATTCCCTAGACGAATATATAGAAGAATGTAAAGAAGAAAGTTAGATCATTTATTTTTTAACTGTGCTGTCCTTTTGAATTGTCAAATTTTCAACTTGAAATTCTGTATGTTATTTATTCATATTTTTGAGCTGTCCTGTTCCACTTTTTTTTTGTATAATTGATTGTGAAAGTTAACTTATAACTACTATAGCTTTCTAAAACTGACTTATTCAATGTCATGTAAAAATGATTTTTTAAGGATGAATAAAAAGTAAGTAAGTAGGTGAACGAATGTGAGAACAGAATGTGTTCAATTCAATGTTGCTGTGCTGCATCTCTCAGTTGGACAAAGCAATTGTTTTGGTTTCTCTACGACCAGGTTTCAGTAGCAGGATGTTTCGGGTGATAGGAGTATAGGCAACCTGAAGATAAGCAAGTTCACATCAACAGTTGAATGAAAATCATGGAATAAAGGGTTTTCATTTGGCAGAGTTCATAATTGTCCAATCTATGCTCTCAGGAATTACCCTGTGAGATTTCTAATGAGGTCCATGCAAAAACCTTATATCGCGGCATTCAACTACCGCATGTCGTTAGTATCCAATCCGATTCTCTTCATTACTATTAGAAATCTTCATTCTGAAACGAATCATTGAGACAAAATGGGGGTTGTTGAAAAATGTCGAATAAGAATTTTGTACTCGGAAAATTTCACTCTCGTGAGTGTGCATCTTGGAAACGGTAGCAGATTTGGAATGAATGTTATAAAGAAGTTGTGAAGAATTTCATCAGCATTCAACTGATTTCAGGAAATTTCTGCTACGAGGAACCGTTTCAGACATTCGAGCAATAAACTCTTCGCCTTCCAGCTCACCTCCTAGACGTTTGAACTTTCAGCGTATTCACTGTCCGAACACTTCGAACAAGTTTCTGAATGAATCGCTCAGGTCATTGCTTACACACTGAACATCCTTCTTTGGGTCATACATTAATAGGACTACTTACCAACTGAGTCGGTAGTGAAACGTGCTATCGTGTCCATAACGTCGACATCGAGATTTCTATCTGAGCTGTCGTCCAACGTCGGCATCATATTTTTTATGCATCCTTTCATTGTATCATACATAATTTTCATTTTCGCAGATGTGAAGACGCTTGTGTATTTCACCTGAAAACAAGTAACGCGTGTTTAATTTTCAAAGTGCGGCTCCGATTCTCGTCTCGGACAAACATAGTGGTCTCACTTCATATTCAACATGAGAATCAGAAAAAGGCTGGTGAGACGGTGACAGAACAACGTGAAATGAATCCTACATGACGAACTGTAGAGGTCAGGTTGGGTTGATTGAAATCAACCATGAAATTGTTCTAAAATGAAATATTTTGAATTATTGAAAAAAAAAAGATTCCAATCACAAATTGAAGTTGAAAATTAAGAAGGATCATATACATACGTTCATTATTTCAGATACATCAGGATTTCCTCTCGTTTCTATTAGAATATGAGTATCATTTCTTGAAAAAGATTGATGATTTCACTATTGATAAAAATTGAAGCCTTGTTATTTTTGTTGTAGTAAGCTTATTTATGAATATTCCAATAGATGAAACTCTACAAATGGTGCATCCTGAATGAGAAGATGATGATACTCTCACTGAGAAATCGAAACTGGCATATAGCCAGAAATGTAGTTGTTTTCTGTTGAATAAACTGAGAAAGAGTTGATACTCTCATCAAATAGAGAATGCGAATTCTCAATGTATTGCCGAATGTCTAATAAATCATGGCATTTGTGGAATTGTTCCTGGAAACAACATATCTTCAGTTCAATGATGAGTTTCATCAACAGAGGTTTGGCATGGCCATGAAATCGCTAATATCTCCAATTGGGGCAATATATTCATCAATAATTTCGAGAAAAACATCATGAAATATTACCATACACAACCGACATGGAATAATGGCAATAAGTAGATGATATTCTCATTATCTGGCCCTACAATTACATGGAGCTTGATATAAACGTTGCTAAATGGTTTGAAACCGAACGTTCATAAGGGATTTTTGCCGAACGTTGATTCAACAAAAAATTTTCGCAAGATTAAACGTTCCATTCAACCAAATCACCTGAAAGAGATAAACGTATTATGAGAACGATTCTTCAACTTGAGTATCAACGTGACATAAACGTCGAAGTTTCATGATTGTCGTCAATGAAGGATTATTCAACGTGTTATTAACTTTTGAAAATGACGATTCGAACAAGTTGATGGAATAAAATTTTTCAATATTCACATCGGCTGAATTTTGAGTCGCCGAATTTTGGGTTTCAGATTACTTCTCGTTATTTTCGTGTCCACAATGAATTTATTATTATTTTCATAATTATTACGATTTTAATCATCATAACTCACTAACCTGATATGTGTCCATGCATTTTCTTCCCGTTCCACTTCCTTCTCAGTGACGTACCTATCTTCACGTATTTCTATTCAAATTTGTTCGACTATTCGTATTTGTACCTGAACTCTTGGTGTGAGCGTCGGCGAGATGTAAACGGAAAGAATACACGTGTCTAATGATGATTATTTAACTTTGTAGAAAAACATATATTACACGCTCCTTTTTTTACCAACCGTTATCGAATACTCTTGAATAAGCTCAAGTAACGTTTATTTCAAGAGTTCAATAAACGTTTTGAATAAACGTTAGGACTTTGCCGGATCGATGGAAAGTAGTTTTTTATCCATTTGAGACACACGTTCTCAAATGACGTATGATAAAGAAAATGGTTTAACGACAACTTATATTACACGTTGACGAATAACAGTTGAAAAACGTTTCATTCACGTTCTCCTTCCACTGTCGGTCAGAAAATGTCGACAAATTTGCGTTACAGAAATGCTTATTCCGAACGTCTGACTAACGTTTCGGTGAAACTTTTATGAATGCATAATTTCAACAGATCATCAGGACATATAGTTTTCGATACGTTTATAAAACGTTCAGATTCTACTTGAGATACTACAACCATATTTCAACGTTGAATTCCGCAACCATGAACGTTTATCCAACTTGTTCTACGTTGATAATACGTTGAAAAAACGCACGTGTACCCATTGGAGTTAGTTCTGAGATTTCATTGAACGTTACCAAAAAACGTTACATCACCGTGAGTACTTATACCAAAATGTAAAATATAGTTCGATTAAAACATTATCCACACGTTAGTGAGTAATGGTTGGGGAACGTAATTGCAAAGCGTATACTTACATCACGTTGTTTCTGTTACTGACTGTTGAATGATGATGAAAGATTCACGTTGGAAAAACGTCAGACTTGTCAGTTCATTGAACGTTATCAAAAAACGTTACTTAACCGTGAGCACTTCTACCAAAATGTGAAAAATAGTTTGTTATCAACATTCATTATACGTTGGCAGATAACGGTGGAGAAACGTTGTTGGAAAACATTTTCTACGCGTTGATTTCTTGACCAGCAGTTGATTTTTGTTGAGAAAATGACGTTGAACAAACGATCATTCCAAGGATTCAACGAACGTTTCGAATAAAGGTTATATAACTGCTAGCAGTTCAACTATGAGTTGCGAAATAGTTCAACAACAAGGTATAATAAACATTGTCAGATGAAGGCTGAAAAATGTAGTTGAATAAAGATTCATCCACGTTTTTTCCTCACTATCAGTTATAAAATGATGAAGGATTCGTGATGAAGAAACGTTCATCTCAAGAATTTCTTTAACGTTTTGGGAAAACGTTTCATAAATATACGAATTTCATGAATCGTCATGACATATCATCCTCAATACGTGTAATAAACGTTTATATTCAACGTCATTCTCTTCAACCATATATCAACCTTTAATTCCTCAATCATGAACGTCTATGCAACCTGATTTACGTTGATTAAACGTTTACAAAACGTACGTGTTCTTATTAGGTATCACTCTATAACAGAGCAAAATCAATAGCATTAGACCAACAAATTTTCAACAATAAACTCCATTCGAGGAATGTTTTTTAATCTGTATCCAGAGAACTCCATCGATATACCGATACACGAAATCAAGAATATACCATACCTTCCTTGCATTTCTGAGGAATTCAAACGTATTGGTGATGAATTTCAAGTGGGAACATCGTTCAGAAATACAAATATAATGAGATCAATTCTGACCTTGAAAAAACCGAGAAATGCAAGAAAATCATGGAGAAATTAGGTTCACAAAATTAACCTTGTGTTGATGGAAAGTATTATACAGGTGGAATAGAGCGAATTCTCTTAGTGAGGACAAAAGAACTAAAAGATGATTTGGAGAGCAGAAATATCGATAAATAATAGAGACCAGCTGAACATATCCTTCCAGAAGATGGAGAACATATGGCAGAGTGCAATAACATCAAAATCATTGAAAATGTAGATAATCGAAAGATAAAATCAAGTAATCCGCTCGCATTCTTTCGAACGAAGACTTCCTATCCAGTGGATATAGATGAAACATAATATGAACACTACCAAAATCTGAATATGAAAATGATGGATTCAATGTCACTATTTGTCACTGAGAAGTGTGAGAACTGATGCCTGACCATTTTGCGAGAAAAATATTCTCCATTTTTATGTTAAAAACGGAAGCAGATTTGTTTCCAAAAGGTTCAAAGATTGGTAAAAAAATTATATTTCTCATATACCTATCTCATTTCTATTCTTCAAACCTCAGTTAGAACAAAGTGTCACTGACGAGTGAATTGAATCTTCTTCTAGGCTCTCTGATAGAAACAGTTTTGAACGCTGTGACATTTCGGGCCAAACCATCTGGTTTGTCCTCAACACGAATATTGAAATGATACTCATAATCTCATTCCATAGAAACGAAGAGAGAAAATCCGAACAACCGAACAACCGAACCACTTCATTGACTTATCTTCAGACAGCATGAATAATGCGATCCTTTCAAGCAATATATCTCCCACTAATAATCTATACATTGTGATCAGGATATGGTAGCACAGCATGAGAATTTCGGAGACAGTATTCGAATTACGAATTCGGATGAATCTGGAACAACTTACACATTTTATTTCATTAATTCCAGGCACATTTCTTCAATGGTTTGCAAAATTATTCGTCGTTTTCCAGTTAGATTTATGAAAGTGAGTTTCCGAAAAATCGACTCATTTGTTTTTCTACTCCATAATTTTTTTTCATTCGAATTGACTCTGCCGTTACTTGTTGAGAATCCATAATGAATTTCGTAAACTTCAGGAACGATAAGAGTTTTACTAGATTCTCATTCACACGACATGTTTCGCTAACACAGTAGCTTCTTGAGGTGAAATACAGGTATTATGAACTGATCTCACATTAGCTTGCAAAACTTCAATATCCTAATCTGAAGGATAAGAATAACCTGTGGTTCGATTTACGAATGAAATATTGTGAAGTTTCGAAGTATCGGCTGGGGATACTCATTTTTCATCCCATGAAGCCCACGAGAAAAACATTGTGTAATGTTCGTGAAACATCGTGCGTACCTAGGAAGGATAAAAAGAGGAGGTGGGTTTTTTAATTTCTTTCGAGCTTCTGGAGGTGCTAAGTTCTTGGGTATATTTCCATCAACAGAGAATTACAAATCTCTGCCGTTCTATAGACGAACGAGTTTTGATAGAGTTTTGTTCGACACTCTTTTTCACAGTGAAAGTATTCATAGAGAAGTGGATGGTCGCCGACCTTTTTACAATCTTCTGATATGCTCAAATAGTAAGTGAATATGGCTCGATTGGTACTTCGAATTTCGTGGTCATATTCACTCAAATCTGATGAATCATTATTTTTTGATGTAACATTATTTTCGGGAGATACTTCTCCTAGTGAAATCGTGCCCCCATATTCCTTATTTCTTGTAACAGCTCCGATTGTATTAAATTATACTCTCAGTCGGACATAATTTATTCGTTCAATGGTGCCCCAACTGCATTCTCATTTGTTGTCACATCATTCATTCAGAGGTTGTCGACATCAGATATAATTTTCGCTTTTCTATAGTTTCTGCTTGGGTTAACCGCCTGTTTCAAATCTTTTTTTTTTGTGTTCATTCTGGTGATGGGCGTTTTACCTACCTATCCAATAATTTGCGTTATGTTATC